GGTATCAATTCGATGGCAACAACAACAACATAAAGGCATAAAGTGTCTGGCTTACAAGCTTTCATGAGTGTGCTTAGTTTCAGAATGAGGGGGATATGTAGAATCCCCACTGAATAGATTTCCTGTTTTCCAAATGGATCTGGTGAAAGGGGGTGGGAATAATGGGGATAGGAAATTATGATTTAATTGTGAGTAATTGTTATCAGGATGTCACACGAATGTCACAACTACAATTATAGAAAATGTGTAACTAAAAGGGGGGAGTAGTTAATCTTTAAATTCAGGAACAGAGGATCCCAGGCCATCAGGAAGGAAGAGGAGGAGTGGAGCAAGAGATTCTACCCAGAGATCTGCAGAGTTGGTGGTAAAGGGGATGGCATGGAGAGATGGAGCAGTTGAGGACTCTGGGCCCATGAACTGTGTCTGTGGGCAAGAGGCTGTGTACTTTGGACATTTAAATGAATATATATATTTTGTTTGTATGTGTACATCAAATATTTTCTCTTTGTTCCTTTGTGAAAATAAGATGTAAAAGGGAAGCCACAGGGTGGAAGCAGGATAACTGCTGTTGCAGGGAGGGGATTCTAATCATTGAGATGAAACAAATCATATGATTGGTTGAAAGTAAAACTGATGATCTTGTCTGTAAACCTTCACTCAATTCACAATAAAAAGTTAAAAAAAAAAAAGACAAAAAATGTTATTTTCAGGCATTAAAGCATCCTTCCTATAGTTCTGAGCTTGCTCCACCAGACTTTCACCTGTTTAGCAGCTTTTCAGGATGAAGATACACTTCTGATGAAGAAATGAAGAAAGTGGTGCATTTGTGGCTCACAGATCAACCTACAACATTTTAAAATAATGTACTACAAAAGCTTGTTGACAGATAAAGTGTATTGAAAAGCTAGGAGATTGTGGCAAAATATTATGTATTTGTCTTTTCTAAAAGTTGATTGAAATAAATTTTACAGAGTGTGGATAATTTTTGACTCACCCTCATACAAACAGGGAATCTCTGCCCCTTCATTGTTTCTCCATCCTCAGACTCGCCTTAGCTTCCCCTTCCTCATCAATAGCCCAGACTTTGCCCTCATTTGGAGAAGTTCTACTCATGAGTCAAAATCAACATGACAGTCACTGATTTAGTTTTTAGCATGCACCTGGCAGAGTGCTATGTGTAGAGATGCAATGATAAACACAGCACTGTCCCTAAATAATTAACTGGATGACATCATTCAATTATCTCAATGTGTAGATTACAAAGAGGTGGCTCTTGGCTTCATTAGAAGATATCAGCAGGTCTAATGTTGACTGGATAACCTTAGGTGGGTTATTTAAACTCTTGGGCCTTTCTTTCTCTGTTAAACAGAGATAATAATACCTATCTTATAAAACTGTGAAGGAGATAAGATATGTGAAAGCACCTTTAATCTGCTCAGTGCAACAATAAGTGTCAATTGTTATTACTATCAAGAACATAATTTAAGTTGAAATGGGATCCATAGTGAATTCAACAATATTATCCAGTTATTTTCCAAAGATATAAGAAATCTGATTCTGTCTGCCATAGAGTAGAGGTTTGAGTAAGACTTCATGTTACCAAACTCCCCACAGGCCTAGCATGCTAGGGAATGGTGACTGCCTCTTCACAGCCAATGCCTGCATCATGTATGTGGCTTTACCTGCTGCAAGAAATCAGAAAAGAGCGGCACAACCATGAGCAGGGAGTTCCAGCCCATCCAAAGTGATTTCCAGGTGTCTTTAATAAAACTATTAGGAGACTACCCAAATCGCTCGCATCAAAATCTACCTGCATTGACCTGCTGGATTTCAATAAAAAATGGCCTATCAGTACCATCATCCTCATGGCAAGCCACCTGAGCTGCCTTGTGTACATGAGTGTGAACTCCCATTTGCATCATGTTTCTCTTAGTAAGTCAGTACAGTTCTTTCTCAAAATTCTAGTCACAGTTTCCTATTTGGGGTCACTCCCCATTCTCCGATTGGTCTTCCAGCCTGTCTGTTGTGAGTCAGGCAGGTCTTCCTTCTCACTTCTCCAAGTCCCAGGCTTATTGCTGCAACAAGTATCACTGGTATGGGGGAGGTAGGTCAGCTGGTGATATCATCTGTTTGTAAATAGTTTTCACAAATCCCCTCCCACTGAGAATCTTAGAGATGCAAGTAAGGGCCCCACCCACACAGAGCAGATTGCCCTTCACAGGATATTTGTCAGATGGTCATTTGCCTCAGCTTTAAGTATCCTGAATGAATCAATACAGCATTTCTGACCTCACCTGTGAGTAACACCTTCAATAGCTCATTGCTGGGTGGGTGCCTTGACAGAACTTGCCAGTCATTCAGTCATTGACAAAGCCGCAGCTAAGAAGCCAAACTACAATTTTTCCAGTGTCTGGTATGTCCACACAGGTCCAAATGATTTGTGAGGCAGTAGAGTAGTAGCAATGGGCTCAAGTGTAAAAATTGTGAGGATCACACAATACTGGGCAGTGTTCCCTTCTGTTGCGCACAGAGCCACTATTAGTTGGAACAAACTACACAGTGCTTAACAACAACAAGAGCAGAGTGGCTGAGAGCATGGATCCCAAAGTGAGACATACCCAGGTGACAATCTCACCTCTCTCACTCACCATCTGGGGATCTCAGCTACTCACTAACTGTGCACCTTTGTTTTCTTACATATCAAATAGGGAAATGGAGATCTTTCATTTGAGGCTATTATGAGGATTAAATGAGATCATATATGTAAAGTGCCCAGTCTTGTGCCTAGAACAAAGCAAGTGTCTAATAAATGGTAGCTAGGAGCTCTGGTAGCGTGTTGGATTAAAAGTTAAGCTGCTAACCTAAAGAAAGGTCAGTAGTTCAAATCTAACAGTCATTCCGAGGGAGAAAGATGAGGCTTTTTGCTCCCATAAAGATTTACAGCCTTGGAAACCCTATTCAGGGTAGCTATGTGTTGGAACCAACTCCACGGTACATAACTACCACCAACATTGCTACTATTAAGAAGCCCTAATGGCATAGTAGGTTAAGCATTAGACTGCTAGCCACAAGGTTGGTGGTCCAAATCCAGTAGCCACTCCTTAGGAGAAAGATGAAGTTATCTGGGTCCATTAAGGTTTACAGTCTTGGAAACCCTAAGGTGGAGGAGTTCTACTCTACCCTATGGGTCATATAGGTCAGAATCAACAAGATGATAGTGAGTTTTTACTGTTACTTTATAAGGACCTTGATGCTAACCTAAAGTTTGGCAGTTGAGACTCACCCTATTGTGCTACATGGTGCTACTCACCCCATGGTGGTTGGCAATCGGCTTCCATAAAAATTATAACTAAGAAAATCTTATGGATCAGTTCTACTCCCTAACACATAGGGTCACCATGAGTCAGAATCAACTAGATAGCTAGGTTTATTTGTTATTGTTGTTGTTCTGTTGTTATCACTGCTGTTATCTCTTCCCTTCTGAACCCAGTAACCCCACTGTAAAGGATGTTGTTCTCTCTGTTTCCTCTTTTCTTAAATGAATAATGAAAAATATGCCCACAAGGCTGAGTTTTCTTACTATTCAGAAAGACCCATCCCTACTATCACTACTACCACATCTGAAGAACAACAACAACCCCACATTTCACCTGAAAAATCCTGCCAACCCACTGCTCTTGGTCATACCTCAACAGCATAGATGAGACCTAAAGAAGGGAGGAGCCCAGTCTTCTAGATGACCCAGCTCAGAAAAAGTTTCCTTCCAAGCTAGCAAAGCAGTCCATGGTCCTTGGAAGCAAGAAACTACCCGACACTGACATCTGAGTTCACCTACCCTAAAGCTCCAGGATTTGGAAGCCCAAACATTTATTATCCAACTGCCTGGAAGTGGTGGGCAAGGAGGGCGAGCACCCTCCATCACAAGACTGTGCAAGGGTACGCGAGAACTAAGCAGTTGGAAGTATAAGCCCTACAGTTAGGCATCCAGTCTTCATGTACTGGCTGGATGACTTAGTGCAAGTTACTTAGCCTCCGTTTCTCTTGAGTAAAATGGAGATGACACCATCTGCCTTGTTATGAGTATTAAATAAGATGATGCACGTCCTGAAAAGTCCTTAGAACACTGCCTGGCTCAGACGTGATCTCAGCTTTGATAATTAATTACCAGAAAGCCACATTTGTTCTCAGGTACAAATTGCAGCTTTCTATCTTCACAGACATCCCAAGCCTTTCTATTGCTATTGTTATTGTTAAGTGCTTTCAAGTCGGTTTCGACTCCCAGCGACCCAGTATAGGATTTCCGAGGAGCAGCTGGTGAGCTTGAACTGCAGACCTTGCAGTTCAAACCAACATTGCAGTCTGGCACATTAACCCACAAGGGCCACACCAGGACTCCAACAAACAGGTACTAGATGGGGTGATCTGTATCTATCTATCTATCTATCTATCTATCTATCTATCTATCTATCTATCTACCTATCTATCTATCTATCTATCTATCTATCTATCTATCATCTATCTATATAGATACACACACACACACATATATAGATATATGTGTGTGTGTATATATATGTATGCATACACAGATGAATGAACAGAGAGGAAAAAGGGTGTTCTCAGGAGGTAGAAGCTTTATTATGAAGTGTCTCCAAAAGACAATGAAAGATGACATTATGGAGCACATGCTATGTGCAGACTGTAGGTCCTATCCAGTATCCCAGTTATGGGTCTCAGCTGCTCAGGGAGGATCGTCACATTGGGGGTCAGGGGCTTGGTAACATTGGGAGCAGGGTGGTCTTCTGAACATTAAAGTGCAGGCAACCTTACTGGGGAGAGAGGACGGGAGCAAACTCCCAAGGTCTGACCCTCATGGGAGCGCTTACTGAATGCTAGAACTATGTGGGTGAAGACAGGGGTCAGGGAGCAGCCGGCCAGAGCGTGAGGCTTTCGGGCCTCAGAGGTCCCTCCAGCGCAGCGCCTGGGGACTTTGGGACGCTTCAACAGCCGCCAGAGCAGCAGCCGGAGCTCTGGTTGTTGGTAGAACACTGGGATCTCTGGCTGCCGCCTCCGCAGCAACTGCAGCCGCGGCGTTGGCGACGTCGTCTCCGAGGAAAGCAGCAGCAGCCGGTGGAGCTGGACCCGCAGCAGCCGCCGTTCGAACCACAACAACCGCCGGAGCCGCAGCCACCGCCGCTTGAACTGCAACAGCCTCGGCAGCAGGAGGATGAGGAGGCCGGGGCGGGCGTCGGGGCAGGACAAGGGACTGAGGAGCCCTGCGAAGAGCCCTTGGAAAAACCTTTGGCGCTCTGCTGAGAGGACATGGCGGAGCTGTGCACAGTAAACCTGAAAGAAAATCCAAAGTTTCATGGGCAAAAGATGGTTTCTTTCCAACAATAGAACTCAGAAACTTGTAGAATCTACTGAGTGAGCAAGCCAGTTTGGCCTGTTGCAAGAAAAAGAGAGAGATAGAGAACCCAGAAAGAGGAGGATAAACAAACCAACAAACTCAAAATCATATTATTTCCAGATATGGCATGGCAAACAGTCTGCCCAAATAATCAATGTTTTTTTTTTTGTTTGTTTGTCATTTCCTCTGGCTATACATCAGGACCACAGTAGAAATTAAAGATGGTATTATGGCAATTTCTCTGCATGACAATCCAGCATCTTCTCTTGGCTCTTCCTCCTGCCTCATTTCCCTTTGCTCACAGACCTTCAAGTGATGCCCTCACAGTTATTCTCATAAGTAAATACCCTATCAGTTAGCAAATCCCCAAATCATACACAATCCTGTGCCCTGAGTCTAAAGAAAACCCAGAAGCATGTTCTGGTTATTCTTGGCAATCCCTTTCATCTCTACCACCTTAAAGAAAAGCAGAATGACGCAGACTGGAAATAATCCGTTCTTAAACCAGACCCGTGTTGTAGCTATGACTCTGCTACAAACTTGCTGTGTGACCTTGCAAATGTCACCCCCATAACACTCGTCTTCATGTCCTCATTGGAATCACGGGATGTTGGCTTGCTTTGAAGTATAAGACATTTTCCAGGACTCCTCTTGTCCTGTTGTGTTCTGCTTCCTCCTCCACTCTACCTTCAACTCTTCCCAACCTCCTTCCCCAGGCTCCCTTCAGAGACTTACCAGACCACTAGAAGACTCAGTTCTCTAACTCGAACAGATCACCTCCTAGGCTGTAGACTGGGCTGTGTCCAGCCAGAGAATCTTCTTATAAGGTTCCAATTCAGACTTTTTTGGGAGGAGCCCAATTGCCAACACACATACTCAGCTGACACATCCCAGAGACATTCATCACTCAGGTAGCACCCGTAGGTGGTGCACGTGGACATCCAAGTCACAGAGGTGCCAAGAGTGCTATTGGTATGTTTATTTTCCAAACAGGACACCGTTTATATCCAAGAAAGCTGTGTATGTGCCAAAAGAAGGCATGGGGGCTTATAGGAGGAGAGATCTAGGAAGCCCTTCCTGGAGCCTGTCCTACCTGTTCTTTTCTACAGCGTGTCTCTGTGTGCACATTTACCCATCGCAGTATGTAATCATCTGCTTGTAGTTGGCAGCTCACATACATGTTATCTTGGTTCCAGAGACAAAGCTCAGGTATGGCAGGTATGGCACATGCCCTGGGTGCCAGTGGACGGGAAGAGGGAGCATCACTGAAGAGTTTTTTATTAGCCATTACAGTTTCCCTTGCCAGCTGTGAGAGATCCTTCAGCAAGTTAAAATTAATTGCCATAGGCACTATTTTCTAAAGATACCTCAGTTGTTTACTTTCCATCACTCTGGCTCTTGGTTCTTGGCTCCTTGAACCAAGACCACAGGCTGTGTGGTAAACCTATGGGGCTATATCCAGATATTTCCAGATGGATTTGAACGAAGAAGATGGTAGTGGTATAACCCTATGGGGATTCCAGTGGGGATTTCTCTCTGCTACCAGAGAGAGGAAGAAAAGCCCAGGCAAAGTTATAAAACCATCAAGAACAAACAAGCTACAACTATAGTGAAGTTGCTATATCCCCATGATACAGCATTACTGGGCTTAAGAAAAAATTGTGTGCAGGATGCTGGCCCAATTGCAAAATGCAAATCCTCACCTCCAGCTCCATCTTACACCCCCTGGGCTCCATTTCCCCTTAGAGGTGACATTTACCTATGACCTCATGGGCAAAACAAACAAACAAACAAACAAAAAAGCAGGTCATTGTGGGGGGCTAGTAAGGAGGATATGAAGAAAGGAGAGAGAAAAAAGAAACCCAAAGAATTTTTGATAAATGGTGCTTTTTAGAACAACTAACATTTATGAGGAGCCTTTGGGTGGTACAAAGGACTCCTACATTCAGCTACTTATTGGTGCCTGGAACCCCCAAAAAAGTACCTAGGAAGAAAAACTGACAATCTACTTCCAAAAGATCAGCCATTGAAAATCCTATGGAGCATAGTTGTACTATGACACACATGGGGTCACCATGAGTCAGAATTGCCTCCACAGCAACTAGTAGAGGTTTTGAAGGTCAGCTAAGTTCAGCTAGGTTCAGGATGACTTCTTAATCAATGAAACTGCCCACAACCATGAATGAGATATCTAAGATAAGTCCAAGACTAAGGATTCATATTGAGACACAGAGAGAGAGGTTTGAGGTGAATACGCTGACAGCAATGTGAGGGAACAACCAAGAAAAGGTAACTTTTTTGTTTAATGTTGCTATTCTGTTGCCTGATTAACAGGTTGTATGTGCCTTCGAATACCTATTGGTGAGTATAGGTGAGACATTCCAAGAAGTGAAGTCAATATGCAAAAAGAGAAGGAAGTAATGATATAACAAAATGGAGACAGGATCTCCCTGAGTAACTGTGCTTTAAAAAAAAAAGAGTGAAGGAGATGTAGGGTTGATGGAACTCAACATAAAGAGATGGAGCAATTAAAAGCTTGCTATATCCTGATGTATTAACTCACTTTTTTTTAATGTTTTATTGTGAATTATGTGATAGTTTACATGGGAAAACATTAGCTTTACATTCATCCTATCGTATATCCTTTCATTGCCATGGTTACAATCCCCTCCATGCATCATCAAACAACCCAAGGGTATACCCTGCAAGTCTGCCCCTCCGCTCCCCACCGGTCATCAGCACACAGCACCTCTCCCTCTCTGGGTCTAGAGTCCCCGGCCTCTCCATCTCTCCACATCGTTGTCTCTGCCTCCATCTCTAGCTTCACTGCTTCTCTGGGTAGGGTACCACGCTCCACTCTTCTCCCTTGATGGTTCCAGGAACCTCCACTCCTGTACTGCAAAGTCAATCACTCCCCTCCGTTTGCTACAAAACATCTGCCTTTACATTTCCAACCCTTGCAGTCAGTCTTGATAATAATTATTCACCATTGTACCACAGGAGACCTATCCCCATCTCCTTTCATTAGCCCTGCCCAGACAGATTGGATACTAAAATCACCCACTATTATTGTAGATTCATCTATTTCTTTCTTCAAATCTATTAGAGTTTGTTTTTATATATTTTGGAGTTCATTCACTGGGAGCAAAGATATTTATTATGGTTATGTCATCTTGTTCAATTGTCCCTTTAATCACGAGATAATGTCCATTTTTATCTATTATGCAGGTTTTGCCTTAAAATTTATTATATCAGAGATTAGTACTGCCACTCCTGTTCATTTTTTATTGCAATTAGCTTGGTATAT